AGTTCGGGTTCGAATCCCAGGTTATGTCTAAAAACAAAAAGTAGAAACTTATAAGAATTTAAAACGAGGTGTTTGTCGCGCTGGAAATGGAGCGTCTCTGTAAGTTTGTATCCCTGGTGATGTTTGTGCCTGGAGAGCACTATATAGGTGGTGCTCTTCAGGCACAATCTTCCTCAGCCTACTCAAGCTCAACTGATGAGGGGTAAATTCCCCGAAACACTGTGTATTGAGCAGGGAGTGGTGCTTTCTTGCAGGTTTGCCGAGTCGAAGGTTCGATGGACTTCTCGTGTGCTCTGGATGGCAGTCGTGAGTCAGTCAAGTGTCAAGTAAAGTCGGCGGAATAGCGCGAGCTCCGGTGTGGGGAGCAAACCCTTTCTTAATTTAAAACATCCCTATGTTTCTTTTGTCTAGGTCATCAAAGCAAAAAAAGCATAGCGTAGGGCCCTGAGCTTCCAAGCTCTCTCGTTCAACTTCCTTTTCGTGCTCCAAACAGGAGCCTAGTGCGGGCATGCCAATGACACTGCTGGTCAATTTTTTTCACTTCAACAACAAAGAGCTGAGATCAGCCATTTGAGTTTTGTTGTTTCCCAGATGCCATGCCATTTCGCCGCCCTCAAGTTCAGCGCCAATCAGGTGAGCGCAGCCGTTTCAGCGCTTTGAACGTATGGCCAGACCAAAAAATTGAGATTCCCAGGCCTTCCTGCACCAAAATCTAGCCAAAGCCAATTTTTTTAACAGTTCATATACATGTACATGTACTTCGAAGTACAGTACTGATCGGGCGAGTAGATCTGTGACAGGAAGTTACACAAACAATGGCTTGTACGACTCCCTGATGTACAGATCAGGGCCATCGTTGGCGGAAATACAGAAAAATTGAACGGGTAAACCGCGTACCGTATTTCCCCGAATATAAGTCGCCCCTTTTTACACTAAAATTCAAGGATAAAAAGGGGTGCGACTTGCAATCCAGCGTGACTTACTACTGAAGTCAATATATCAAATCAATATTGCTCAAACCTGAAAATAGGGATGCGACTTATATTCGGGGAAATACGGTACCTGTTTTCTGTAAACAAAATTGAATAAGAATTACGCACCCAAGTTGGGTGGTGTTCTGCTTTGCTGCTTCGAATTGTAGTTAGACCGCTTTGTCAAATTGCCTACTGGTCTCGTCATCGTCCAGTGACAATCGACATTCTTTGTTCCGTTTGGACTGTAGCTTGTGCTCGTTTTCGTTGCGCTTGCCTTCCCCTCTTTGGTCTTTCCATAACCTTGAACCTTCCAAGTTGGAAGGCTGTAGGTTAGCGCTACGGAGATGTGTTGAAGCTAGGCGTCAGGACGTCGAATGTCTCAGTACTCTGTCAGTTTTGTGCCTAGTTGTGCCTTTCTACTTATATTATTGGCTCAATACCCGAGTTTCAAATTGCACACCTGATGAGCCGTCACGAACCATACGGCCAAACGTACGTCGTGTGAAACAACTTGTTTTGTAGTCAACTAGTCCATCACAATGTCATGCATGAGGAGTACTGTAGGAGTTTAGATTTCGGCTTGTACAATTCGTTCTCGCAAAGCTTCCCCCTTCTTAACTTATCTTTGATATTTTTGACCCACCCAAGTTGGGTGGTGTGCTGCTTTGCTGCTTCGAATTGTAGTTAGACCGCTTTGTCCAATCACCTACTGGTCTCGTCATCGTCCAGTGACAATCGACATTCTTTGTTCCGTTGGGACTGTAGCTTGTGCTCGTTTTCGTTGCGCTTGCCTTCCCCTCTTTGGTCTTTCCATAACCTTGAACCTTCCAAGTTGGAAGGCTGTAGGTTAGCGCTACGGAGATGTGTTGAAGCTAGGTGTCAGGACGTCGAATGTCTCAGTACTCTGTCAGTTTTGTGCCTAGTTGTTGCACTTTCTGACTGTATAGTATCTAGTTACAATGGTGGAGAGTTACTCTTAACTCGTTTCCATATGTCCTTTTCCTTTCTACTTTTATTATTGGCTCAATACCCGAGTTTCAAATAAGAATTATCGAATAATACTGTAAAAAATAGTTCAGCATAGATAGGAACATACACATAGATAGGAAAAAATTAAACAAATAAAAAATTCGCCCGCTCGCACCAATTTCACATGGGTACTGCCCGGGAATCTCGATTATATTTTCGTCTCGCCTAGTCGCCGAATTTTGCTGCGCCAAATATTTCAGCTCCGCATACTTCAGTGGCTGTAGATAAGCGCCAAACATCTCTGCGTTACATAGTATGTCAGCGCCCAATACTCCTCTGACGCTTGTAGTTGGTCTGTTGGTCTAGGGGTATGATTCTCGCTTAGGGTGCGAGAGGTCCCGGGTTCAAATCCCGGACAGACCCATTTTTTCTGCTTTTTTTGTTTTCTTTTCAGTCTGCAGGTGCATATAAAAAGATATTTAGCAAAACAATTGTTTGAATTTTGGAGCTCGGCCAATTGAACAGGTAGCTGTGTGCAATGACTACTTGCCAAGAACCGTAACTTGGTACGCAGAGGATCAGTTTCAACGCAGCGTTGAGAGCAAAGCGTCCTCTCTGTCTCACTGCTCCGACAAAAACGATACAGTCTTGATCAGCGAGCCCCTTCCAGGACAATGTATCTTTGTTTTTTTTCGGAGTAAAAGCTGCACCCAGAACGTTTGCCGTGAAATGCAGACATCTATACCCTATTTACCACCGTAAATCTGATCATGGTACTGTCGCGGACATGGAAATCCAGTCGATTGACCGGGGCCGGCGCCGTCAGCAAGTACAGAATGTAAGTTGTTGCATGCAGTGCACATGTTGATCCAATGCGACCAGCACCAGCGCATAACAATACATGCTACAGGTGCATGGCTAGCGCCCTGCGACCGGATTTCCATGTTCACGACAGTAGTACAAGACGTATTGACTTGTTCCAAATGAATTACTGGCGTTTAAAGTGCTGCATGTACTCCGAAAAATACGATACTTCACTGAGTGTCTAACTCAATGCTATTGGAACAAATGACTTGCTTTTTTGCGATGCGACGTGTGATGCAACCCGGCAGTGTGGTGCGAACTCGTGAAAGTTGAGCAAAGCTCCACCTCTTCCATGGGCCAATTGTGAGAGCTGCGCACTGTTTACAATTTTTGGGATTTTCCGAGCGCCGTCGCATTGCACATCACATCTCAGCGGAATTGTACAGTCCTGGAGATGAGAGGGTATGAACCTTTTGTGTAGTGCTACCCTTCGTCTATCCCGTGGCCTTCGATAGCTCAGTTGGTAGAGCGGAAGACTGTAGTGTGCGCATCACTCGGATGTGCAGTCATCTTTAGGTCGCTGGTTCAAATCCGGCTCGAAGGATTTTTTCTTTTTTTTCTCAACACTTCTCCACAAAACCACTGACTGACACTTACTTCATAATCCTGACATGAAGCGGACATGCTGAACTCACGTGCCTCTTTCTTCTTTCATTTTCCGTAAATGCCTAAGGGCAGACTGACGGACCGAATGGAGAGCTGCGCTACTGACTATAAGTTAACTTCCGTCCTACTGAACCCAAGCCAAGGTATGGCCGTGCGGGACTCAAAAAAGGTTGAAGTGGCCAGCACAACTACATGTACATGTAGTTGTATATGATTGTACACTAATCATCATAATTATTTGTACATGTACAATCATGTTGTTGGTTTAACAGCATGAAACAAGGTGGAGGACACCATGGTCGCGTCGGGACATCACCAGCCTCGTCTACAGAGAGCACCTTCTCACGACAGTGTCATGGTGGTGGCAGTAACTGTTGTCAGCTGAAGAGCTAAGAGAGGGACGCCATGGGCAGAAGTTGGAAGAAATAAAAAGTTAAGAAAATACTGAAAGCGAGAGCAAGCGCGAATGCGTGTGCTAACAAAAAACCTTGCAAATGAAAAATGAACAAACAAGAGAAAGAATGAAAGAAGGACAAAGTGATAACACATAACAACAGTACATTTCTCCTAGAACATTAACGCCAAGCTATGGCCGAATAAAACACGACACGCTACTTGAACAATTTAAACCCAATTATACTAACTATAATTTCGAAAAGAATACAGGTTAAAATAGCTACTATTTTATGACTATCAGGACGACATCAGAATCACAGAATACACGACTAATGTTAGGAGAAGTCTATAAAAGTCAATAAAAAACTCTCCTAGCATATTGAGGGTCAGAACCGGGTTTAACACCCATACGGTTCAGATGGTCCCAACGTACAGGGGCTCTACCAACTGTCGATGGTCGTAGTAAGGTCACTGTTTCCGAACGCTGTGTCCTCCACCTTGTTTCATGCTGTCAAACCAACCACATGTGTGAACTAAAACAAGGTTTATCCAATGTACAGTTACGTACATGTCCCTGTAGATGGCTGGAAAGGCAAATTGTTCAATCGATTTGCCTTGCAAATTGACTTTTTAGTTTCTTTCAATTGTAATATGAAAATACCGTTTGTGTCTTTCCCTCAAACTAGTGAAAATAAAGTACACATCGACAGAGCAAGAAAATAGCTTCATTCTGATATGCATGTCATACTATACAAAACACAGTTTTACATACATTCAAATGGGACTTCGAGTATAAGGACACTTCGCGAATAAGGGCACTTTCCTGATGCTCGGCCGAGTGTCGTTATTCGCACAAAGTTGAGTCAAGAGAGTTAGGTACCTGTACAACCAGATTTCGTGAGATCTTTTTTTATGTACGTGCTCATATATTATGCACATGTATGTACAGTGACAACGGTACAGACTCCTGCTCGATGGATTCAAGTCGCGGCACTCAAATTTGCGCCTGGAACCCATTTCTCAGCTCAGTGTTCGCAGGTATAGCGCTGGGCAACGCCCTGCGCGTAGTTGTGGATTGCGATTGGATTTCATTGAGCAGTATTGCACCCCTTTCAACGCAGGAACCTCTTAAAAGGCGACCAGCCATCGGAACATCTGTCAGCGCCAAATACTCCTCTGACGCTTGTAGTTGGTCTGTTGGTCTAGGCCGGGGTATGATTCTCGCTTAGGGTGCGAGAGGTCCCGGGTTCAAATCCCGGACGGACCCATTTTTCCTGCTTTTTTGTTTTCTTTTCAGTCTGCAGATGCATATAAAAAGATATTTAGCAAAACAATTGTTTGAATTTTGGAGCTCGGCCAATTGAACTGGTAGCTGTGTGCAATGACTACTTGCCAAGGACCGTAACTTGGTACGCAGAGGATCAGTTTCAACGCAGCGTTGAGAGCAAAGCGTCCTCTCTGTCTCACTGCTCCGACAAATGATACAGTCTTGATCAGCGAGCCCCTTCCAGGACAATTTATCCGTTGTTGTTTTTCGGAGTAAAAGCTGCACCCAGAACTTTCGCCGTGAAATGCAGACATCTACCCTATTTTTCACCGTAAATCTGATCATGGTACTTTCGCGGACATGGAAATCCAGTCGATTGACCGGGGCCGGCGCCCTCAGCGCGTACAGAATGTAAGTTATTGCATGCAGTGTACATGTTGATCCTATGCGACCAGCACCAGCGCGTAACAATTAATACATGCTATAGCTGCATGGCTAGCGCCCTGCGACCGGATTTCCATGTCCACGACAGTAGTACAAGACGTATTGACTTGTTCAAAATGAATTACTGGCGTTTAAAGTGCTGCATGTACTCCGAAAAATACGATACTTCACTGAGTGTCTAACTCAATGCTATAATGGAACAAATGACTTGCTTTTTTTGCGATGCGACGTGTGATGCAACCCGGCAGTGTGGTGCGAACTCGTGAAAGTTGAGCAAAGCTCAACCTCTTCAATGGGCCAATTGTGAGAGCTGCGCACTGTTTACAATTTTGGGGATTTTCCGAGCGCCGTCGCATTGCACATCACATCTCAGCGGAAAAGCTTATGTGAATCCCACTTCAGGATTGTACAGTCCTGGAGATGAGAGGGTATGAACTTTTTGTGTAGTGCTACCCTTCGTGTATCCCGTGGCCTTCGATAGCTCAGTTGGTAGAGCGGAAGACTGTAGTGTGCGCATCACTGGGATGTGCAGTCATCTTTAGGTCGCTGGTTCAAATCCGGCTCGAAGGATTTTTTCTTTTTTTTCTCAACACTTCTCCACAAAACCACTGACTGACACTTACTTCATAATCCTGACATGAAGCGGACATGCTGAACTCACGTGTCTCTTTCTTCTTTCATTTTCCGTAAATGCCCAAGGGCAGACTGACGGACCGAATGGAGAGCTGCGCTACTGAGTATAAGTTAAAGGGGAAGTTAATGCAAAAATTAAAATTTCACCAGTTGTAGTCTTCGGGGTGCTGAGTCGAATGGTCGTGGTCCGAGGAAGCTGAGACACTCCCTTCCTACTTGAATCCCAATCGAGCTCGCGCACTTCCACCGAAACTGGGTGACTGCGCCCTACTAGATGGGGATTTGTATGCAAAATGTCACTAAAAGCGCCATTTCGTTCTTATAAAAGCACGGATGACCGCGATTGGCCCATATGTTGTAGTCTTTTGGACGCTGAGTCGACTGGTTTTGGTCCGAAAAGGCTGCGATGCAGCGTTCCTCCTATATTCCCAATCGAACATGGTTGAACAAACGGTCACGTGCTCCTGGGTGCCCAAATCACCTGGTCACCACGTCAGCAGGCGACAACTTTCACACCAAGGTTCAACTCGAGTGACAGGACTGCACCCAAAAAAGGTCAAACAGGCTAGTAAGTTGTACCCTGCAGGCACGGTGACCAGGTGACTGGCATACGCAGGAGCACGTGACCACTTGTTCAACCATGTTCGATTGGGAATAAAGGAGGAACGGTGCATCGCAGCCTTTTCGGACCAAAAGCAATCGACTCAGTGTCCAAAAGACTACAACATATGGGCCAATCGCGGTCATCCGTGCTTTTATAAGAACGAAATGGCGCTTTTAGTGACATTTTGCATACAAATCCCCATCTAGTAGGGCGCAGTCACCCAGTTTCGGTGGAAGTGCGCGAGTTCGATTGGGATTCAAGTAGGAAGGGAGCGTCTCAGCTTCCTCGGACCACGACAATTCGACTCAGCACCCCGAAGACTACAACTGGTGAAATTTTGATTTTTGCCTTAACTTCCCCTTTAACTTCCGTCCTACTGAACCCAAGCCAAGGTATGGCCGTGCGAGACTCAAAAAAGGTTGAAGTGACCAGCACAACTACATGTACATGTAGTTGTATATGATTGTACAGTAATCATCATAATTATTTGTACATGTACAATCATGTTGTTGGTTTGACAGCATGAAACAAGGTGGAGGACACCATGGTCGCGTCAGGACATCACCAACCTCGTCTACAGAGAGCACCTTCTCACAACAGTGTCATGGTGGTGGCAGTAACTGTTGTCGGCTGAAGAGCTGAGAGAGCGACGCCATGGGCAGAAGTTGGAAGAAATAAAGAGTTAAGAAAAATAATGAAAGCGAGAGTAAGCGCGAATGCGTGTGCTAACAATAGACTTGCAAATGAAAATGAACAAACAAGAGAAAGAATAAAGGAAGGACAAAGTGATAACACATAACAGCAGTACATTTCTCCTAGAACATTAACGCCAAGCTATGGCCGCATAAAACATGACACGTTACTTGAACAATTTCAACCCAATTATACTAACTATAATTTCGAAAAGAATTCAGGTTAAAATAGCTACTATTTTATGACTATCAGGACGACATCAGAATCACAGAATACACGACTGATGTTAGGAGAAGTCTATAAAAGTCAAAAAAAAACTTTCCCAGCATATTGAGGGTCAGAACCGGGTTTATCACCCATACGGTTCAGATGGTCCCAACGGACTGGGGCTCTACCAACTGTGGATGGTCGTAGTAAGGTCACTGTTTCCGAACACAGTGTGCTCCAACTTGTTTCATGCTGTCAAACCAACCACATGTGTGAACTAAAACAAGGTTTATCCAATGTACAGTTACGTACATGTCCCTGTAGATGGCTGGAAAGGCAAATTGTTCAATCGATTTGCCTTGCAAATTGACTTTTTAGTTTCTTTCAATTGTAATATGAAAATACCGTTTCAAAATACCGTTTGTGTCTTTCCCTCAAACTAATGAAAATAAAGTACACATCGACAGAGCAAGAAAAGAGCTTCATTCTGATATGCATGTCATACTATACAAAACACAGTTTTACATACATTCAAATGGGACTTCGAGTATAAGGACACTTCGCCAATAAGGGCACTTTCCTGATGCTCGGCCGAGTGTCGTTATTCACACAAAGTTGAGTCAAGTGTACCACCAGATTTCGTGAGATATTTTTTTATGTACGTGCTCATATTATAATTATGCACATGTTTGCACGGTGACAACAGTACAGACTCCTGCTGGATGGATTCCAGTCGCGGCGCTCAAATTTGCGCCTTGACCCATTTCTCAGCTCAGTGTTCGCATGTATAGCGCTGCGCAACGCCCTGCGCCTAGTTGTGTAATGCGATTGGATTTCATTGAGCAGTATTGCACACCTTTCAACGCAGGAACCTCTTAAAAGGCGACCAGCCATCGGAACATTCCTAATAAAGAGAATTATCATTAGTTTATCCAAGGAGCAGGCAGGAAAGAGGTCATATGCGAAGCACCACTGGGTGACCGAATACATACAAGCAGGCAGTTGAGCGAAATTCAAATATCTATTCTCAAGATGGCCTGTGGCCAATATTAGAGACAATAGTGAGATTTACATGACCTGGAGGGTTTGGATGGCTTGTGTAGGAGAATTCATGCATAGCATTAGTCAAACTAGGCATACAGGTGAGCGTGGCTCGTGCATGAACAGATTGAGTCTAGCAGCAGGGATGAGATATTTGTCCTACACAGAACTGGTAATTAACTATAATTATATATTTATTTCTGCACCTCGTGGCATGTCAAGACAGCCAGTTGAAGTGAGTAGAGGGTGAGACCAACCACGGCAGGAGAGAAAAAATAAAATGAAGAGCACGAATACAAAGTGGGAAGGGATTAGCAACTTATAAAGCAATGGGATATCGCGTAACATTGAAGGGATGCCATTGAAATAATGGAGAGATTTGGACTAAGGGGACTCCAGGCAGCCGTCGGTTCGTCGCCATCGTCTTCGTCGTTGTTGTTTCAAATCTTTACTCTCACGATGGCATGCGGCCAAAAAGAGATAAAAATTATAATGAGATTAGTATGATGCGGAAATTTCATGGCTAGCAGTGATCAAATTAGATGTACGGGCGAGCCTGGCTCGTGCACGAGCAGATTGAATTGAGCAGCAGGGTTGATATATGTTGCTTAAACAAAGTTGGTGATTGAATCTTGCGTAACGTTGATGAGAGGCTATTGAAATAATGGAGAGATTTGTACAGAGGGGAACCCAGGCAGCGGTCGGTTCTTGCAGTTGGCAAATGCCAAGTGCGAGTGTGCCGAAAGCTATAACCTGTATAGACACGATTTGGGGTTACGAGTATTAGAATATGGGGCAGGGCGTAATTGTGGTGGATTGAGAGAGCAAACGCTATGTGTTTAACTTTAAAAGCAGGAAAAGAGAGTAGGCCAGTTGTTGGTTGGTTGATTGGTTGGTTGGTTGGAATTATTTAAAGTCGTACTTGTACAACAAACAGGCATATCTGCCTCCTTATATGAAGACGACTCCTAGCCCTGGCAGTAAAACATTTTAAAGAAAAGAGAAAGGAAAAAGAAGAAGATAAGATCAAGAATGTATAGACTGAGCATACAGCTAGCCGGAGACTGAGCATACAGCTAGCCGGAGACTGAGCATACAGCTAGCCGGAGACTGAGCATACAGCTAGCCGGAGACTGAGCATACAGCTAGCCTCGGCATGTATCAGAGCATCAGGATTACTACATACTAGTACATGTACTCATAATCAAGACAGGGGAGGGGGTTGCTGTCATGCTACAGTAAGACAATAGTCACAATTAATACGCGTGCAACACACCCTTGAAGTTGAACTGGAGAGGGGACGTGATGTTTCTCGCATCAGGTGGAAGACTGTTCCAAACGCGTGCAGCAGAAAGAGACACGGGATGAGTTCTGGATGGAAGCTGCAGCAGATGTTGTTGGGAGCCGCGCGTTTGGCCAGCCCTAGTCGGGGTGACGAAATGTTGATGTTGTTGTTGTTGTTGTTGTTGTTGTTGTTGTTGTTGTTGTTGTTGTTGTTGTTGTTTCAAATCTTTATTCTCACGATAGCCAGTGGCCAATAAGAGATAATAGTGTAAGAAAGGAGAAAGAGTGAGGAAGAATTGGGTGGGCAGGGCCTAGGGGTTAATGACTACTTAAGTGTACGGGCAGGGGTGGTCGCCACACGAGCATACAGAGTTGCGTACTTAAGTGTACGGGCAGGGGTGGTCGCTACACCAGCATACAGAGTTGTGCAACAGCAGGGATATGTCGGATTTGAAGGGAGTACGAGAAGGGATTTCGCGAAGCTGGGTGGGCAGGCAATTAAAGTAATGAAGGGCCTTGTACAGGGGATTGTTGTTGTTGTTGTTGTTGTTGTTGTTGTTGTTGTTGCTGTTTTTGTTGCTGTTGCTGTTTCTGACGTCTCTGCTTAATCCTACATTGCTCCGAGAAGAACATAGGAAAACTGTTCTATACGCAGGGAGGAGAGCATCAAAGGAGAAGAGACACAAATACAAAAGTTTTCGACACGTGTCTACAGTCAAGGAACAAAACATTCCGTAAACCATTTCATTTTGTTTTACAATTCCCTGCCAGGTTACAGCCTCATCTCTGTGCAGTAGCGATGACCCAAAGTTCCTTGATCCATGTCGATATTTAGTTCCTTGCTTCGTTTCTTTTCTAGACAGTTTCTTTTCCATATTCTTTATCACACACACACCCATGCTGCCCTCTGTGTACGTTCATTTTGCTTTGTCTTCTTTCATCATTTTCTACATTTCTATAAATACGTCTCCATTTTCGTAGGAGCCAGACCGTTGGTCTGGCGAGAAGGCATCGGTACCTGTTCATTGGACGAAGCAAAATGAAATACCATTGCTACTAACGCATTTGCTCTATTAGAAATTACAGAGTGAGCTTGAGCTTTTTTGCATTCAAATTTCATTCAAAATGGCTGCCCATTGCACTTCCCTCCACATCACCTGATTTGCGGTAAGCAGATCAAGAATGGTCTGAAGTCTAAGGTCGTAGCAATGGCAATCATAGGGATGAGCCCGGCGCAGTACACAACATTTTCGGTTTCAAATATGGCATCTGGTGTGTCCTTTATTGTCGTTTCTTTTCCTGACTTCTTCAGTCAGTTTTGAGTCTCACGAGAGTCCCTGCCCTCCCACCCTTCATTTCTGAGTATTTTATTATTGCTTTTTTAAATAATTTTTACTGTGATGTGCTTGCCATGCCTACATGATGCCAAATCGCCATTGGGCCATTGGGGATATTCATCTGATTTTTTCCCTCTCTACTGCGTCCGTCCGCGCGAGGGTTTTTTCCCGGCTGGCTCGTGCCTGGAAAATTAATCTGACGGTCCCAAGTAGTTCTGCATCATGGCCTATTTCAGCTATCCGCTTGAACACCTATTCCAACTGAGATACTCTCTGAGTCCTTGCTTCCATGCTTCGCACGTTGTCCGGTTCACATCTGGCTGAGGCCAACTACCCTTCACTTTGTGTGTTGTGGCCATTGCTGTCTATGTCTCTGTGTGTGCCAGTATTATGTGGAGCGAGAAACAAGACACGAGTGGTGAACCCACAACGAGCACAACTGTAAAGTATGCACTGGTGGCAGGTGCCAAGGGCAAGGATGAGCGCACGCCACCATTCACGGCACGTTCCAGGTTCATGAAGTTTGCCTGCATCATGAGCAGCAGCCAGAAATCCGCCATGGCGGACCAATTTCCTACTGACGGAGCAATCTCCGCCACCAGGATTGGGAACAACCATCTCAGCGTCCACGTTGGCGGAATGGAATGTGCTTCTTGGAGAAGTCGACAAAGCCCTGCTCTGTGAGAAACTCTCAGAAAAGCTGCTAAAAGGTTCTTGTTTTTGCTGACGACAACAAGAAGCAAGGGGGTGACCGTCACATGGTTGGCGTTCACACACGGTGTGAAACGAGCAACTGTACCGTAGGGTACGTGCTGGCAAATACCCTTGTGCAGTCCGGTGGTGGAGCAAACTAGGCATCTGTGGACTATCTGGTATTGTAGAACATAACATGGTGTGGCGGAAGTCTGCGGAGTCGTGGGAGATAACTCCTCTACCCGGTCAGGCAGCAGGAAAGGCCATGCAGCCGAGCTTGGTGTGCTTTTCAAAAGTAACACCACATTCGTTTTATCAGCTGCTATCCCCGCATCCTGACCTTAGCCCTATGTAATGCTATGGCCTATGGATTTGGTCAGCGTGGCAGCATGATTAACTTCAACCGGTTTCAGCTGCAATACCAGGTTAGGTACATGTCCCACTAAGGCTATTCCCGCAATCTAATGGTTGGCTGCTTTTTGGAAGCCGCTTCCACCATGATGACACACAATGTTACTACTACCTCAATTGCATGTCACGTAGTACCTCACTCCCCAGGCCAGACATTGCTCAATGTAAATAGTAGCTGCGTAGAATTGTCTGTGCTCATTCCTACCAAGTAGTTATTTTGAAAAGGTGAAGAACTTTCTTCGAAGTAGTTCTTTGTGAAGAGACTTCCGCAGTTGGACATCTGCGCGTTTACCCTAGCATTAACTCTATTTGAGTGTCACGAAGAATGTTGTGGAGAATATTGCAAGGCAAATCAAAGAGTATGCTGCCACTGTCAGAAGAAGAAGGCATGAGGCATGGTATGACCCACGATCCAGGCTCATGGAGATCCGCAGCAATCCAGAAGAGGGAAGCGGCACAAAGTTTCCCAGCAACTACGGCAAGCAGTAGTCCATGTTGTTGATTGTTCCTGCTGTAATGTTTCTCACACATTTCTTGTGCAACATATCGCACTTTAACACACTGTCCGTCTTGTTTTCACAGTTTTTGCACCTTCTCTCTTTATAAACGAGGTATTTTTTGTCTAGTATCAACCGTGTGATGTAAATACAATTGATGAATTTTTACAGGAAAATGTTTTAAAAGGAACTAATCTAGAAACTTTGCCTTGATGTGTGTTTAGAATGAGTGCGCAGTTTATCCTTCTTTTGCTGTAATCAAACTATTGTCTCCACGTACACGTACATGTAGGTTATTAAACAAATCTTTGAAAGGAAAGGAACACAGCCCAAAGGTTCCTCTCCTTTCTCTGTATATTATTCGCTCAACATGTGAGTTTTTTCTTGGCTTCTTCTTTGCCTCTTCTTTGCTTCTTTTATGATTATTACTTGACTGGAGTATGCAACACGCATAGTCAAAGGGGAATAGAAGCCATTTTTCCCTTTTCTCTTCAACTCATCAGTTTGACTGAAATTTCTGAATTAAGTACAGTAAAACCTTTTACTAACGACCACCCCTTGGGGCCAGAGAAAGCAGTCTTTATTGGCAGGTGGTCCTTAGTTAGAGGTTTGCACTGCATAAACATAATAATTATGAATGTGATATCGTCCGTGTCTGGCGAAGCGGTCTGTAGTACCAGGCTGGTCGCTAGTAGGACCAAAACTATTACAGTACAACCTGTCAAGGCGACCACTTTGATAAGGTGACCACCTGCCTCAGAAGACCACTGTAACCAGGACCAAGGGATGCTATTTGCAGTCAAATGACCCTCGATAAGGAGACCACCTGGCAACAGAGACCACATTTTGCAGGTCCTTTGAGCAGTCGTCTTAGACAGGTTTCACTGTACACCGATTACTCGTATATCACTCGTTATGGATGAAATCGATAGTCGTTATGATCGATGACGATTATGACTGTACAGTGCGAGAGCGGTCATGACGGCAGTACATGCAGACCATGCATGGCATCATGCACGCGGGTCATACGCACAATTGTACAAGTACATGAACGTCAAAGTACACGTGCATGAAGCTGTATAGTTACTACCTTTTCAAAGAAAAAGAGGAAAGGACCAATAAGTGACGAGTTATGACTAACAGTCCACCAAGTTAACGAGATCATTTTATACAGTCAGATAGTGGGACAACACGGCACGAAACAGACAGGGATATTGAGTGGTGAAGGAGCCAGGTGTGAGATCGTTGAATGTCAACATCCCTGTCAGTTTTGCGCCTTGTTGTCGCACTATCTGACTGTATATTATCAGTTTTAATTTCTCATTACTTTGGTGGACTGTTAGTCAAAACTCGTAACTTTCCTTTTCGGTATGTCAGCGCCTTTAAAGCCATTGTCTTATATTCGAAACACCGCCGCGTTTCTCGCTATTTTAGATGCAAAAGGACTCACCCACTATGCCTTGCCATAAAAGTCAAAGACCACACAGAAATTTCAATCTAAACCCACTCGTTCACCCTTCCTGTTTCCTTCATTTTTACAAAACATACTTCAAATGGCATTTCATTTATGAAGCCCATGGCTTATAACTGAGACTGGTTTTTTAATCGAATATACCTCCTTGGCATTAAAGGTGCGGATACACGGCGAGTGCTACTATTGAATCTTTCCTCAGATACACCGGACAGGCACTTCACTTCTCCTTTGACCTGAAATATGAAGTTTATCCCATGCCCATTTCAATGAATATTTCCTCATTATCATTTTCACTACTAGTAGTCCACTTTCTTTTCCTTTAGTTATTGCATAATTATTGTTTCACGCATTAACAACGTTTAAACAAACTATCCACATGTCCGTTAAACTTGTTCTCCTTATTGCGATTCTAAGATTCTTATCTCCTGACTGATTGTGCAAATTCTTCGCCGTATCCGAAGATGTTCACGTACGCCAGGTTGCGCTGGCAGACTGGGGAATGGCCTGGCACAAAAAGCTTGAACGTACAACGTCTCAATTCCTCCCGATTTCTTACCATCGCAACACAGTCGTCGTCCCACCGGTTGTAGTCCAGAGCACAGTTGTCCCGGACGTCGATCAGCTGAAGCTGCTGGATGTGCTGTTTGACCAACACCTGTCCTTCACAGCTCATACAAGTCAATTGGTTATTAAAGGCACATAGCGTCTCGGCGTCCTGCAGAAAGCCTCACGAGTGCTGGACTTTCTGTACAAGCTCCACTTTTCACCTGTCCCAAACATACTCGTCGCCCTTCTCACACCCTGAGCTACCAACACATCACACCATAGTTAACGCACACAACTACAGAGAAACCTGTCTAAGACGACCGCTCTAGGGACCTCCAAAATGTGGTCTCTGTTACCAGGTGGTCTCCTTATCCAGGGTCAGTTGACTGGAAATAGCATCCCTTAGTCCTGGTTCCAGTGGTCTTCTAGGACAGGTGGTCACCTTATCCGAGTGGTCGCCTTGACAGGTTTTACTACATCCCCGACACCACTTTCAGCTCACCTCTACTCTTCCGCTCAGAGCTCGGAATGATGTCCTTCGGTCCGTCCCTGACGCTGTTGTAGAGGGTTTTTTTAATAATTTTTTATGAAAGTACACAAGTGCCTACATAGATCATAGAATGGAAGATAAAAACAACAACATCAAGAGAACATAGACTACAAAGGGCGTGTACGTGCTAATGAGCT